ACTATGTGTACATATCTTAAAGTAGCTCAACCAAGCTTTTCTCTGCAGAAGGTGATCTCTGCTACTTACATCCCTTGAAAGCAGCAGCTACTCTGTGAGCATCCAGAATTCTCAAACCAAGAGCAGCAAAGTAAATGTACAGTATTCCCCTAACCAGACTCAAATAATATGAGACAGAGTGACTAAAGCTTAACCAGGTGTTCAGGGGAGAAATGACTTCCCTGTGAAGAACTGGAAGCTTCAGAGCCTTTGTTCATCTAGTATCCATCTCATATAGCACCACTGGTAAGGGGGGGAGAGAGTGGGTTTGCCCAGCCTCGGCACTGGCAGATTGTTCTGAAATCGCTTATCAGCTTGGCCAGCCTTCAGCCTGTTTAAGAATAACCCACCTTTATGAATTAGAGAGCCTGCCAAGGTACAGTGCTTAAGAATAGTTGTCTACTTTCTGCACTTCTTACATCTATATTTGTATTACAGGATGATCCTGTTAATGAAACTTTTGATATTCCAATAAAGCTTTTTAGTTTGGGTTAGATGTGCTTGTGGGGGGCGTTCTCAAAGGCAGAAAAGCTTCCACCTTGATGGAACTTACCCCTGGCATATTCCCTGAACTGAATAAACAGATCCTGTACTTTCTCCCACTGCGATGGAAAATGCATGAAGCCTTTGGAGTAAACTTTTTTAAAGGGTTAAACTTTCACAAAAAATGTGAACACAGTAGAAAGTTCAGAAACTAAATGTAACACTCCAGATTTTTGTCTTTATTAAAAACAAAGATAACTTCAAAAGTTCCAATTCTGCTGATGACCCGTGTGGCGCTCACTACACAGTTCATGTTGAACTTTTTTTTCTCTCTTTAAAAAAAAATAATTTCCTACTTTTAAAATAAAAATAAGGTTGCAACAATAAAGCACTGATATTTAGGAAATGCCAGAATTAAGGTTGCCTACATAAACTTTGCTTCAGCCCCCTTGTGCTTATAACTATTTACATGACCATTTTATATTTTTTTCCACAGGTTCCCCACCTCATTCAATGAATGATGCTCACTGTATGGGTACCTAGTCAGTATTTTTTTATCCTCATTCAGTGTGGACCTCATGCTTATTTACTGCACACCATCCAAATCCTGCACCGAATAAGAAATTTTCCCATGGGCATTTTTTATAGCATTCATTGCTGTAACACCTGCGTGATACTGATTACTGAGTGTTAAAAAACTTAGATGGGGAACTGTGGCTGAGTTTAAGGCCAAAATTATTAAGTGCCCAACTTTGGATGCCCAGGGCCTGATTTTATTTCTGAGTGCTTAGTGTTTTTTAGCACTTTGTATATTCACAGCTCCCACTGACTTCAGTAGCAAAAGTGAGTGCTTGTCGGGGCCCATGTATCTCCTGTTGGGCACCCAGAACATAAGGAACACATAGTGACCCTCTGGGAGAAGTTTGTTTTAAGTGACTTGCCCAGCATCAAGGAAGAACTATCTGGTGGAGGTGGGAATGGCATCATTTTCTAGGGTAGCATTCAACTGCTTTGACTATGAGTCCCCTGCCTCATTTGTAGTAACCCACCTTCCAACTTCTGCAACAAACAAGGCAGGGATCCTACATACAATAGCTTTCTTCACTACACAATCCTGATTGAGTATCTGAGCAACAGCTGTCCAGTGCACTAAATGAGGCAGGGGTTCTGTGCCCCCCCCCCCCAAAAAAAGGGGGGGGAGAGACGTGTTCATGTATTACAGACTATCATGATTGGAGCTGGGTTGTAATTGGCAACCTTAAATCTGGCATTTCTACATTTCAATTGCTTCAATTTGCAATCTTAATGTTTTCTATGTAGTCTTTTTGTATGTAAATGAGAGTAAGATTTTACTGCTCTTTTGGCACTGCAGAAGCTGTCCAGTTTTGGAAGCTGGAGCTGGATTATTCCTTGTTCACACATCAACAGAACTGGCTTTGCCCTCTAGTGTCTTCAGATTCTGCTCTGTTACACTTGTGCAAGCCCACTGAATGCAATATTTTATTCAGGTTCTTGTCGCAGCAGAGCTGTAGCCAAGGGTATAATTTTGAGGACAAGTGATGTACAGGTATAACTGGCAGCTTTGGAGGTATGGACTCTAGTGATGCACAAACCAGAAGCACTAACTTGATTTTCATGTCTACACTGCAATAAAAAACCCACAGTGCTGAGTCTCAGCTAACTCAGGCACATAGCTTGGACTGTTGAGCTAAAAATTTGGGCTTGGGCTGGAGCCTGGGCTCTGAGACCCTCTGCCCTATCACCTAGCCCCAGATCCCAGTATGCTTTCATAGATTTAAAAAAAAATCTTTGGCTGGCAAACTGAGCAGACTTGCTGGAGAGTAGACAAGAATAAATGTGGAGCTCCACAAAACCATTGTTAAAGTCACATTACAGAGTATAATCCTCCCTTTGGCTGGATGAATAGCAAAAGGGCCTTGCTTTCAGTCAGATGAAGGGGTTAGGTTTCAGTTCTCTTTAGATTCCTATTTGTACCTGTTTCTCAAAGCAGTCAGCAGGTGTCTTCCAGCCCTGCTTCCACCAAGCCTGTCATGCCTGCATTGTGTCCAGATTCCAGGGGGATGTGGCAGGAGGGGAAGTGCTCTCCTGCACTGCATGATGCTACCGTCGAAGAACCTCAATTTTTACACCATTAAAATCAAACAAGCCATCCAATTATTTCTTTTCCCTCTCCCTTGATGCACTTTGTGACATGCATTTTGTTGCATAGAGAATATTGATCCTGAGGCTTCAAGATATTTTTCCAAACTTTAAATAAAACCGCTGGGGTTGTATTGTGACACTTTTTATTGTTTTTTTTTTTTTGCCACCTTATAAATGAGAGCCAAAGACCAAGGGCGCAGCAGAGTCATCACAAGCATCACACTGGGCATGCCAAAGGAAGACAGGCCAACAGGCTTGCTCACAAGCACGAGGTACCCTGTAAGCTGAAGGACAGGTGGAACGTTGGCAGCAGTTGTCTCCAGCTGTGAGCAAAGATGTAGCCTCTGGTTGTCTAAAAATGGCTGAGACAAACCAGCAAATCACTGAAAGTAACGGGGGATGGGGTTCACAGTGTCCTCAAAAAGAGAAATGAGTTCAGCTGGAGCTGTAGAATGTGTTTAATTCCAACCCTCAACGTGTTTCTCCATAGGACATTGTGCCTTGGTGTTTGAGTTGTGTCCTCAGAGCCAGGGCAATCGGGGGGAGGGATAGCTCAGTGGTTTGAGCATTGACCTGCTAAACCCAGGGTTGTGAGTTCAATCCTTGAGGGGGCCACTTTGGGATCTGGGGAAAAAATCTGTCTGGGGATTTGTCCTGCTTTGAGCAGGGGTTGGACTAGATGACCTCATGAGGTCCCTTCCAACCCTGATATTCTATGATTATGTAAATGTGTGAGCAATTTGTGTGGGTCCCAGCTGTAGCCAGCACTGCACTATACAAAATATGCTAAACTAACCCAGTGCCCTGCATGCTGGTGCTGTACTGATTGTCACACAGGAGGCGATATTCTGAGGCTTACATTGCCAAGCCTGGATGCCTAAAGTGAAGTTTCTAAATACATAGTGAGGAACCTAAACAAAGTAGCCTAATTTTCAGCAGGGCCGTGTACCAACAAATCCCACTGACAGTAGTGAGAGCTGCTCAGCTTCTTCTATTGAGTCTAACTTTAGGCACACAGGGTTGAAAGCTTTGGCCTGCCTAGATGACCTACAATATTAAACCACACCCAAAACAGCACGCAGCAGCTGCAGAAAAGTGTTCTTTGTTATCCATGCAGTGAGGGTGAAAGATCACTCAAGCACTGCCGTACCAACTGGTAGATGACTGCCTATGTGCCTCCTCAGGGTGTGAGTGCACACAGGCGAGACTCCAGGGTCAGGGCCGTCCCTAGCTATTCTGGGGGCCTGGCTGGGGCTGGGTCCCTGCACTTTCCGCCGCCGGTGAGTGCAGGCCCTGCCCTGCTGCAGTCCTCAGGGGCGGGAAGAGGTGGGGCAGGGGCTGGAGCAGTACACAGCTGCGCAGGGCACCAGGAAATTTGGTGCCCCAAGTTTCCCGGTGCCCCACGCAGCTGCGTATGGGTAAGGACGGCCCTGCCAGGGGTGCTGCGTTTCCAGCCCCTTACTTAGAGCTCTGAATTAAGGTGCTTCCGATCAAGTATAAATGCAGAAAGAGAGCTCTAGCACCAGCACCACATCCCAGAAGTTTACAATGGGGTATACAGGTTTATACAGGGGTAAGAACATGGCACATCCCTTGGGTAACTACTAAAACTGTTCCCCAAGTATATTGTCTTGGGGTCACTTCTGAAATGTCCTAGAGCAGGTGCAGGAGAGCAGCGTGCCCTGACAATCCCCCAGCTGGCATGCTGATGCAGGATCAGCTTTGCTCTGCTCAGCTCAAAAGTGTAGATCTCAGAGTTCAGAGGAGCTGAATCCGCACAACTCAATTATTGAAGGGAGATTCCCCTGAATACTGGGACTCTGTGCCTGCTAGGGGAATCATTGGAGAGACTTTGTTAACCCGCCTATTTGTCCTGGTGCACCAGTGTAAACCAGGGGTTCCAAACATAAGTGCTGGCACTAGGGGTGCTGGGGGCCCTAGACTTGAAGTGTTTTCCCTCATAAACAAGATTTACAGTTTGATTCAATGGCTCTCAGCACCCCCCACTATACAAATTGTTCCAGCGCCCCTGGTTCCAAACTACACAGCTAAGGACAGCACTTAGCTCACCATAGGACCGATAACACCAGCCCTCTGCTTTAGTACATAGAGGACAGGTCTCTGAATGTGCAGGCTTGCTTGCAGCACAAGGGAGCAGTGACTGCTGGAACCCAGCTGTCTCTTCAGGCTGCACTGGTGAGGGCAGTTGGAAGCCACTTCATAGGACTCAGTGCTGCATTTAGCTTTTGCAAGTACTCATCTCTGAGTTTAAGAACTGGGAGTGGCTTTGGCGTAGGCTGGCTTCTTGTCATGTCCTAGTAGTGAAGAACAGCCTTCTGCATTTTATCAATTGTTTTTGTAAGGTCATCATCAATTAGTTCATAGTCGTGGTCAGAGCCATCACTGACATTCGCATCTAAAAGGAAAAGGAAAGAGAATACTATGCAGGTGCTGGGACAGCGTTTGGGATGCCCTGGACGACTCCATGTGCTAAGATACTAGGGAGGTACAGGCTATAGAAACCCTTTAGAGAGGCAGATTCTTGGGCTCTCCTTCGCCTTCCCTGCCAGTGTTGAGAGGCAAGAGTAATACTTTTATCTGAATACAATACTAGCAAAGGTGACTAACAGCAAAAAGCCCAGGAGCAAGAGCATAAAAAGCAATGGGCAATATAGTGTGTTTGCATGTTGCTAAGAATGCAGCATATGTTGTGCTCAATCAGACCAATGACCTAACCAGACTGGTGTCCGGCTTCTGTCAGTGGCCGGTATCTGATGCTTTGAGGGGGATGCCAAACAAAACAGTTCAGTGAACCTAGAGCCAGTTTTGGGGTGCTGTTAGTGGGAGGGCACATCCTTTCCAGCCCCTGCAGAGATCAGTTCACACCCTCAAGCATGAGATTTGTTTTTATGATCGTAGCCTACTTCTCTTTATCTGCATTGGCATAAGGTTTACCCCTTGCTGCATGTGCTCCCTGAGTTAACAAAACAGCCTGATTTCTTCTTACATTATATTAACAAAACTTTAAAGAATATGAAAGTTGAAAAATCGAGCACTCAAAAGTTAGGAAGCATCAAAATTAAGGTTGCTTGCCTGGACAGCCTCAGTGAGGTGAGGGGTGGGTGGGTGGGTGGGTGGGTATTGTTCCTGTTTTACACATAGGGACCAGAGACACAGAGAGGTTAAGGCCAAAATTGTTATATGGTCCACTAATTTTGGGTGCCCAATTTGAGATGCCTAGGCCCTGCTTTCTTAGAGTACTGATAGGCATTTTATAGTACTGTGTATGTTCAAGCACAGATCCCACTGACCCTAGAGCCGATCAAAAATTTCCTGCTGAAAATGGTGTTTTCTGAAAACCGACGATATCTTCCCATGAAACATTTAATTGTTGTCAATAAAAATGTTCTAAACAAAAATTGTAATCTAATTTCTGTTCACATTGAATTTTCATTGTAATGTTTGAAATAATTTTTTTTGAGACCAGGTTTTTTCCCCCTTTCTCACTCTTTTGTTGTTGTTGTTGTTGTTACTGAATGCAGTAGAATGAATAAGGTCTAGAATTTTTTTTTCTCCCTTTTCTCCTCTGTAAGTTGTCAAATCTTCTCCAACTTCAGAAAAGTTACCAAGGGACAAAAGGAGAAATGAAACTGTCATTCTGTTACTTGGAAGCTTTTCCAAAGTTGAAGATTTGAAACACTACAGATTGGAAAAAAAGGAAAAAAGGATTGTGTGAGGAAAACCCTGGACCACATTCATTTTATTGCACTCAGTGGCAAAAAGGGGAGCGCTAACTTCTGACTATTCAAATTTTTTGGTAAAACAATTTAAACATTTGAACCCTTTGAAACAGGAAGAAATTCCAAATGGCCCAATGTTTTGCAAAGTGGTTTTTCCACTTCTTGGTCAAATCTAATCTCTATGCAGGCTGATAGGAGCCGGAAAGTTGATGCTGCAGAGGCAGGGGAAACCCCCAATAACGAACTGGCCCCTGCAGTGGTCAAGCACTCCCAGACCCCCTCTCCAGCACCTGGAGTAATTGTTTCCCACTCGCCTTTTTAGAATTGTGTCCAACATTGCATCCCAAGCAATGGGGGCACCATGTCACAACCCAGTAGTTTTCCCTTAGCGTCATCAGATTAGTCCTAATAATTTTGCCACAGTGAATCATGCTGTGCACTTCCTTTTCATCTTTAGTGCTACAGCAGCAAGTCTATTGGACAGTCTCACCTCTGGCCTCTTTGAAGGGTTTCTTAGGCTTGGAGGCCATCTGCGAGCCAATCTGATGTGGTGAGTACTCATTCGGGGAGCTCCGGACAGTCGGGGGACTCCTCACATTCCTAGGCTTGGGGGACAGCGGCACAGACTCCTCGGGTGTGCACTTCGACTTGGACAAAGGGGGCAGTGGCTAATGGGAAGAGGAATAAGATGGATTTTAAAAATAAAAGGCTGTAGCTCAGTCTGTTGAAGATGCTGGTAGCAGGGTGTGTGGACTACAAGTCATGGGATAGTTGCCAAGAAAATCCAGTCCCAAATGGACACCAGAGAGCTGGGGTGCAGAATTTCGGCTAGAATTTCTGCAGGGAAGTGGGGTGACCAGCAAGGACCCCAACCTCTGCAGAGGTCCCCTTCTTTCCCAGCTCCTCCTGTGCTCTGCTGCCCGGCTGAGTCCGTCTGTGATGCAGTAAAAGCGCTGCACACACACACACACACACACACACACACACGTACCTTTGGTTTCTCAGTGACCTCTTTGGCTCCAGATAGCTGGGTGCCTGCTTTGTCCCTGACGTCCCTTCTTTTGGGGGGCCGTGGTGGGGGAGCCTCACTGCTAGGCATCAGCTTTAGCAAATGATAATAAAAGGATTCTGTCAGCTCTTCGACTTTTGACCTGTCTGTCAGGGGTGTCTGCGGTGGGGCAGGCTCCTCTGTGAAGAACAGGGCCATGTTCAGCCATTGAGGGGGGATCTGGAAGCTCACTGACGGCGCCTCGCACAAGCTGGTCACTAAGAAGGGCTCAGTGATTCGCGCTTCCAGCCGCAGAGCAGAGAAAGAGCCCAGGACGTCATTGGCAAGGGAAGAATCCTTGGTTGCCACCTTGACGTCGCAGGGCAGCTGAAGCTGCTCCACTATCTCGGGGAGGCTGTATCTCCTGCTGTCGCTGACCTCTTCCACAAAGCTGCCTTCCAGGTGCAGCGGCAGCATGAGCTGCTCGCTCTCCTCGTCCTCACCATTGCTCCTGCTGCACACGAGGACATCGATGGACTTGTGCTCTGCATGCCTGCAGACCTGGGTCTTGGCCAGGTGCAGCACCTCCAGCCGGTCCCCCATGCTGAGAGACGGCAGATCCTCCTCGGGGCTCTCACAGTCTTTAGTCACCACCACCCGCAGGCACTTACCCTTCCCCAGACTCGCTGTCAGGTCAAAGACTGTGGGGAACTCCTGGGGGCGTCTCCGAAACTTGCCCTGGTAGGTGCTGGAGAGCAGGAAGTGCCGGGAGCCCCTCCTGCCCTTGCTGGATGAGGCGAGGATCCTCCAGGCACAGGACTTGCCATGGATTTGGATCTTCTGCCCCTTCTGCAGGCGGGGAATCCAGTCATTCTCGAAGATAGGTGGGTACTCAGGACCCTCCAGGATCTCGGCCTGCATGGGGAAGGCCCCCTCCAGCCCCAGGACCTCGCTCAGCATCAGCGGCTTGATGAAGTGGATGTGTTGAGACTCCTCGGTGACATCCTCCACATCCACTTCCAGGGTGGAGGGGATTTTCACCACCTCCTTCCGCACTGCAGGGGGGAGACATGCAGCAGTGAGAGCCAGCAGTCCCAACCCCAGCCAGTGTCACCCCATTGACCCTGGTGATGCCAGCTGAGAATCAGGCCCCAGATGCTTTTGCAGCCTACAATAACCAGGGGTTATCTCCCTGCCAGGGAGACCCCGGGTCTGCACTGCTGCTCGCGCCCAGGCTGAGATGCTGGCAGGATGTACTGACCCTGGCTCCAATACTGGTTAAAACTCAGCATGACATAGGGTTACCATTCGTCCGGATTCCCCCGGACATGTCCGGATTTTAGAGCTAAAATCGCTATTTTAGAGCGTCCGGGGGGAATTTGTAAATGTCCGGACTTCCCCCCCCATGCAGAGCACGCGCGGCTAACAGGGCGGCCGGCCGGATGGTGCCACTTACTTGGGGCTCCGACAGCCAGAGAGAGCCCCTCCTTCCCCCTGCAGCAGAGATCGCTCCCTCCCTCCCTCCCTACATTTGCAGATCACCAGCCGGCCGTTCGCACCGGCAGTCTGGAGCTCCTCCCCCGCTCCTCCTACCCGGCACGCTGGTCTGAGCGGCAGAGTAAGGGGGTCGGAGAAGGGGCAGGGAGGTTCTGGAGGGGGGCAGTCAAGAGACAGGGAGCGGAGGGGGGGTCGGGAGTTCGGGGGGGGCTTCTGGGGGTGTGGATAAGGTTTTGGGCAGTCAGGGTACAGGTGGGGGTAGGGTCTCAGGAGGGGGCAGTTAGGGTGGAGGGTCTCAGGAGGGGGCAGTCAGGGGACAAGGAGCGAGAGGGGGGGGTTGGGAGTTCTGGGGGGGGCTGTCAGGGGGCAGGGGTGGGGAGAGGGATCGGAGCAGTCAGGGGACAGGGAGCAGAGGGGTTTAGATGGGGTCGGGAGTTCTGGGGGGGGCCATCAGGGGGTGGGGAGTGGTTGGATGGGGCATGGGAGTCCTGGGGGTCTGTCTGGGGTGGGGGTGTGGATAAGGGTTGGGGCAGTTAGGGTACAGGTAGGGGGTTGAGTCCTGGGGAGCAGTTAGGGGCAGGGGTCCCAGGAGGGGGCAGTCAGGGGACAAGGAGCAGCGGGAGGGTTGGGGTTCTGAGGGGGGCGGGGAGTGGAAGGGGCGGGGCTAGGGCAGGACGGGGGCGGGGCTAGGGCAGAACGGGGGCGGGGCTCCTCCCATCCTCTTTTTTCCTTGCTGAAATATGGTAACCCTAGCATGACAGCTTGTCATCCTGATACCCTGTGGAATGAATAGGGGACATCCAGAGCTGAAAGCATGAGCTGCTGTAGCATGAGCTAAAGTTTCTACTTGGGCTAGATCAGAATCCTATCCTCTGTGGATCAGCACGGAGAGGTCCTGTAACATACTGATCAGTGGGTACAGAAACACTGTGTATAGTTGCTTGCCCCCACTGGTGGCAGAGTGCGTGTGTGTCTAACTACCTGGCCAATATGGATAGAGATAAATGTGTTAGGTCAGTGGTTCTCAAACTGTGGGTTGCGACCCCATTTTAATGGGCTTGCCAAGGCCAGCTTTACACTTGCTGGGGCCTGGGACTGAAGCCGAAGCCTGAGCCCCACTGTCCCAGACTGAAGCCGAAAATCACACCTGGGTCACGTAGTAATTTTTGTTGTCCAAAGGAGGTCGTGGTGCAATGAAGTTTAAGGACTCCTGTGTTAGGTCACTGCTATTCTAGGCAGAGGCGTGTTTTATAACATAGTTCCAGTGTTGTTTGTGCCCAGCTCCAAGTGCTATTAGATCCCCAGTTGGCTACAATCAAGTTTAAACCACAGTTTGAGAGGTGAATGGGGTCTATGCAGGCATGGCCAAGACATCCATCTGCTACAGAGATCTCCAGCTGCAGGATCAGTTCCTTGAGACTACCAGCAGCCTGTGCACCACGTGGGGGACTGGTCCAGCACGCAACCAGCCTAGAACTGGGGAAATACAAAGGCAGGGCTCTAGGGGGAAAGGTAGTGGTACTCCTCCAAGCTCCAACCACAAAATAGGGCCCACCCATGTGAGTCACCAAAATGAGTCGCCGCTCGCACAAGATTGTGCAGATGCTCAGGCGTGTGACCCTTAAGCTTCGCTGGACTCCTGGGGGCTGGTTCCTTGCTGAGGGAAAACCTCTCAGTGAAGCATGCAGGTCTGCAGCCTGACCCCGTTCTCCCGTGCAGCTGACAGGCACAACACTGGGCCCTCACCCCGCCCTGGGGGGACTGCAGCGTCGTCAGCGCTGGTGGATTTCAGCCGGGCTGGAGCCAGCTGCTAATGTCAGAAACTCCGCCCCTCTATGAATTTGAGCGCTCTGATTGGCTGCCTGCCCCACTTGCCTGCCTCCTGGGGTTGAGCAACCAATCACTCTGCTGTAGGAAGAGTTCTCTCCCCACCTTCAGAACCTGAAGCCATTCTCCAGGGTCAGGCAGCAAGAGAAAGAGCCCAGCAGCTCAGGCTGGCTCCTATGAACCCTGGGGACAGGTGGCACACTTCTGATCCCCCCGGGAGGGGGAAAGGGACCCCAGAAGCCCCCCTAGCCTGGGAGAGGGGTTGGAGAACCCCAGGAAGAGCAGAGGTGAAGCTGTGGAACAGAACTGAGAGATTAGGGGCTGGGTGAGTGAAGTGACGTGGGGCTGAACTGATAGGAGGTCGGTCCTCGGGGGCAAGCTTGATTTGGACACTGAGGGGTAATATTAATTGCTGGACAGGTGATGGGCAAAACTGGGGGTGAGAGCTCCTGCAGCAGGGGCCAAGATCCCCCAACCCAATGAATCTGGGAGTGTGGGCAGCCCCACTTGTCACCCCACACATTGGGCAGCCCCACTTGTCACCCCACAGCTGGACAGCCCTGCTTGTCACCCCACACACGC